AAATCAGTTGATTCAGATTGGGACTTCGGAGCGCGAATCATTTGATTCAGATTGGGACTTCGGAGCGCAAATCATTTGATTCAGATCGGGGCTTCGGAATGTGGATCACAAATCATTTAGGAACTTCGGAGTGTGGATCATGAATCACTTGATTAAGATTAGAACTTTGGAGCACGGATCGCAAATCATTTGAATAAGATCGTAACTTCGAAGCGGATTGTGAATCTTTTTTTATTTATTTTCTCTCTTTTATTAAACAGTACAAAACATCAAACCATTAATGCAGCACAGTTATATTAAAAAAAGTATACAGAAATACAAATAACCATGGTTTTACTATAGTAAAAGTGTGGTAACTATGTTTTTTTTGTATAACCACAGTTTTACTACAAAACCATAGTTAATATGTGGTTACCGTGGTATAACTATAGTAACCTTTTTGTAGTAAAACTGTTAAACTAATAAAATTATACATTTTCGTAAGGGATGTGTTGCCACCAGGTTAACCAAAAAAAAAAAAAGTGGTCTAATAAATGTACACCTTAAGCGGACACATGAATGAATATAGACATACAATTTTCACTGCTTTTAACAAAGCTTTGGATAGTTTCCATACTTGGAAATTCTCCTTAGCAATAATTTTTATCAAACAATTAAAGGTTGTTGTTGCAGACTGTTGTCTGCTGTTATGTCCACTCCAATGCCAAAATTATACGTATGTCCTTGTGTTAAAATGAACAATCTTACTTATAACCATATGTCTTTTTCAAACCAGTCTTTTTGGAAATTTGTTTTTCTATATCTCTGTATTATATTATTTCAAATCTTTCTATAAAAAGTTTCATTGGTAGGTTCCCCCACATCAAAGCTGCATTTCAGTAAAAATTCTAGTCCACCATTTTGGCTTCATATCATATTCTAGTCTCCTTGCTAGTGCCAGCTGCCAATCTGTGTGTCTTCAATAATACATAATAGGTAATAATCTTGTTTAACCTCTGACCTGTAGGCCTCGTTTGGCTGTTTTTCAAACATCAGCTTTGATGGACTGATTCAGTACCGTATTTCATTATTAAGCAGTTATTTTAGACTGTGAGATTCATAACAGCAGAACAGGAAGCTCTTCAACTACAAACTAAACTCACATGCACTGAATGGTCATTCACACCTACAATCTGTTCATCCAGCAAATCAAACACGCTTCTAAGGAAACAGACCACAGCAGGTTTCACTTTGACTCAGATGAGCTGCTATGTTACTTAAGTAAAACTGGTGATTGTGAGATGGGAGACTGTTTTAACTTTGTGCTTTTTTTTGTTTGTTTGTTTTTTTTAATTCTCGACATTTTAGAGAATGTAATTATTTCAGCCATTTCAAATGATTACAAATCTAGGAAGATTTACATAATATTCCATATATTTAGCATATCCAGTCATTTCTTTCAAACATTGTCAGTGTTAAATGATAAAAACAGAGAATGTCTCCCACCATTAAGAACAATTAAAGATTCAATAAGAACCAGATGATAAATTATAACTATAATACATTCAAAAAGCGAGCGCATGTGTGTGTGTGAACCATAGACTGTATAAAAACAGGGGTGTGAACTAGGAGGGTTAAACTTTGTCGAGGGGAGTTTTTTTTAAGCGGATAGTCTTATTAGAACAGACTTTCCACGAACGGCTGAAGAAAATGTTTCATATGCTTGTTTTGTTCTGTTTGTGGCATCTGATTGGTAAGTCATACATATATTTTTACAGCTTTATGTCATAACAAGCTAGGATCATTTTCATTTGCAGCTCTTTACAGATAAATCAAATCAGCCACTATTGTGAAATCTACTTCAGTTTCGATTCTGTGCTTGTTTCACATGTTTCTAGACGTTGAAAATATTCTAAATTACTGTAGTGATTTTCAGTTTCTCACTTTTTTCTCTTTGCTGCTATGAATATCTTACTTTTAAATATTACAATGCATGTATTAATTTAACAGATGTTACATGACATGCAAATGGAAAACCTCTGCAGAACTTTGCAGAAAATTGCAGTAAAAATTTGCAACTACAAAAGTCATGGAAGGCTTTCGATCTGTGTGTGGATCTGTGTCAAATCTGGCCTTGTTTGTGCTACAGGTGTGTTTGGTGAGTCTGTGTCAGTGATGGAGGGAGATTCTGTCACTCTACACACTGATGTTACTCAAATACATGAAAACGATGACATACAGTGGAAATTCGGAGCTGAAAACACTCTCATAGCTGAAATCAGTAGAGATGCTGGAATCTTCTCCACATCTGATGGTCCTGATGAGAGATTCAGAAACAGACTGAAGCTGGATCCTCAAACTGGATCTCTGACCATCACAGACACCACAACTGAACATGCAGGACTCTATAAACTAGAGATTAGTGGAGTGAAACTGTCATCAAAGAAATTCAATGTTTCTGTCTGTGGTGAGTAGAGATCATAATTTAATTACATTACAAAAATGATTAATCAAATGACATTGTTATTAACCATATTCTCTCATGTTTTCAGCTCGTCTGCCTGTTCCTGTCATCAGCAGTAACTCTTCACAATGTTCTTCGTCATCTTCATCATCATATTGTTCACTGGTGTGTTCAGTGGTGAATGTGGGTCATGTGACTCTCTCCTGGTACAAAGGAAACAGTTTATTGTCCAGTATCAGTGCGTCTGATCTCAGCATCAGTCTCTCTCTACCTCTGGAGGTGGAATATCAGGATAACAACAGCTACAGCTGTGTGCTCAACAATCCCATCAGCAACCAGACTCAACATCTGGACATTGGTGAACTCTGTCAGACATGTTCAGGTACAGCAGCGCTGATACGGTTATTTTTTCACACAAACCCAATTAAGTCACCCATATTTTTTTTTCTGTTTCACAAAATAGGGATCATTTTTATAGCATTACAGTATGTTTAAAGTTTTGAGTTCCTCACAGCGACTAAAGTCACTTTGTTGGAAACTACAGTTCTGTTTTTCCCCAGAAGTCCACATCTATTGTTGTGGTTTTACTGAAGCTGTGATCCGATTGGTCATCTCTGCTTTGGTGGGTGTGGCTGCTGTGGCTGTTCTGGTTTATGACATCAGATCCACAAGAGGAGGAGACAAGAAGCAGATATCATACATATTATGACATATCTTTAGGTTCTATAAAGATTAATATATATATACACAAGGATTTAATTTCAAATACAGTCATCAATAAAATCAACAAGAGGATAGGTGCATATATATATATATATATATATATATATATATATGCTACACTGTTTGAGAAAATAAATATAATGAGTCTCAACCAGTGGCTTCCCCAGTTGCTGCAAATTCCATTTTGATTATTGGTACTTTGGGGCAGTTTCCCAGGAAGTGATCATTTTGTTCTCTTGAATGGATGGAAATGGTGCTTTTTCGCACGCTTTGTAACATTCCAGTATCAGTTGTTTCATACTGTACTTTTATTAATCGTATTATTGTCATCATAGAATCTTGTTTATGGTTTGTATAGTTTATAGTTGTATTTAGATCTGAGTAGATTAAATATTATAGAGCAATCTGTGATGGTTTGTTGACCAAATAATGTAAATAATGTATTTGAAACATCTAAGATCAAACTACAGACGGACAGTGAAATAATGAACAGTATGTTAAGATTTTTAGAATATCTCATCAGGTAAGTAGAAACTTAAAATCTCAGAGCAACTTTAAGTACTGTACAGTTTACTGAAATAAAATAATAATATAAACTTATTTTTTCAGTTAGTTGCCAAGGTAAAATTTATGTAGAAGTGCTAAAACTGAAATAAAATTAATAAAACTATTGACATCTAAAAAAATAAATAATAATTGCAAAATCAAAATGACTAGAAGATTAATTCAAATTAAAATCATATTAAAATATGACAACTACTCAAAACTAATTAAAAATTTGAATGACAACTGTACTAATATTTTAACAAAACTAAAATAACATAATTTGCTTAAACAATGGTCATTTACATTCAAAACATTTATTTAAAACAGCAGACTGTTACATTTGTTCACATTCTGTTATTAACCCCAGACATGAAAATATCCAAATGATGTGTCATTAGTAACGCTTTGAAATAATCAATAATTATTTTTTGAATTTGTTTTGGAAAAGTGTGTGAAAAATCACAATTGTGACCAGTGGGATAATGTGTATACTGAATTAACATATTTCTGCAGTCATAAAAATGGTTATATATCTTAGCCAAGCTATTTTTTAACTGTTTGATCACATTCTAGGGTTATTATTATGCATAAAAAACCTTATGCAACATTGATAGGAACACTGAGATAAAAGACAAAACAAAAATCAACCAACGCATTTCAAAATTGTTACTTTTTTGTAAAATGAATTCATATATTAATACTAGACACCCTAAAGATAATGTGTACCAAAAATCTTTGTCATATCTTTATGTTGACATACTTTAAGTTACTAGCCTTTAGTTTTGGAGCTTTAATACAGTTATCATCTTCTCAAGGTGCAAACAGGAAATAAACTGCTCTGGTCATGTGACAATTTGCACTAACCATGTGAAACTGCACATATTTAAACTGCAAGTAAAACGCGCATGCGCAATTAAAAGCGGGGTCATGCAGCTAAAAAGAACATTATGTTGTGTATTTGGTGTAATGAAATGTGTTTATGCGGTTTAAGGTTCAAAAAACACATTATTTTCCACATACTGTACATTATTGTTTCTCCTCTATGCCCCGCCTTTCTGAAACGCATAGATTTTTACAAAGCTCATCTTTCTGAAAAAGTGAGGTGTGCTCTGATTGGCCAGCTATCCAGTGGATTGTGATTGGCTGAATACCTCAAGCGTGTGACGGAAATGTTACGCCCCTCACCATACTGTGATGATGCTCTGTCCGGCCGGAGCGATGAGACAAAAACATGAAAAGCCATTATAAATGAGACACTTCCTTCATCTGTACAAAAACAAAAAAAATGCTCATTTTCAGCAACAGAAACTAATGAAATCACAAATCACACACAATTAAATGCTAATTTTGCCAATAAAGATGTTTTCCTCTCACTATGCCATCTACAGGTGATACTTGCCCTTTCTGGAGTGTCTGTAGCGATAGTAAATCACACCAGCAGTAGCAGCAGCCACCAGCAGAACACCAACAACAACACATATTCCTGCTACAGCAGCTGAAGACAGACCTGAATCTGGAACAAAAGAGACAGTCATTAGTGTGAGCGAATCTATCAGACTGATCTATAACAAACAGTACGAGATATCAGCAGGTCTGAGAGCACATGTGAATCTGTTTCAGTTTAAAGTAGAACATGTTTCATACAGTGACATCAAAAGCACCAATGCTTTGGTAACGAGACATCAAGGTACTAAAATAAAGATGTAACAACATTTTTCTTTACGTTCTCTTGTAAGAGTCGTTTTCCGTCCATACAGCACAGAAATACTGAAGCTCATAATGCTGGTGATACTGTAGCAGTTTCTGCTGGATTTGATCAGTAGTTTATATTCTCCAGAGTGTGTGGTTCTGGTGTTTGTGATGGTCAGAGATCCAGTCTGATGATCCAGCTTCAGTCTGTCTCTGAATCTCTCTTTACACTGATCATCTGTACAGATCTTACTCTGATCTCCAGTGATTTCAGTGAAGAGAGTGTCATTGAAATACCACATCATCACATCATTTGGGTTTCTTTCTTCAGGAGTGTCTAAAGTGACAGATTCTCCCTCCTTCACTGACTCTCTCTTCATTTCAGCAGTGCCATCTGAAACACAAACCAACAACAGCTGGAGGACCTTTCTGAGGAAGAAACTCAAACAGGAACAAACTATGAAAAATGATTTAGCATATTAATTTCCTGGATCTTAAGAAAACCAGTGGAAAC